GCGGTGTCTGATGGAAAATGATCGCAATTGCGGGAAGGACACAGGGGAGTCGTACCAACACACAGTCTACTTACACTCAGTGAGCTTCGAGATGATGTCAAAGAGGACGTGACATAACAACTCGCAAGTAATGGTGCATGAAGAATGCCAGTTCTCGTTCGCGCGATGATAATGCAGAACAATGGCTGTAAAACATGAATGTGATATGTCTAGTGGTACACAAGATAACGAAAACACACTCGAGTGTCTGGCAAAGAGGGCGATCTCAATATGTGACGAACCGTCCAGAGGGTTCACGTCCTCGGGTTAAAACAATGATTCATAAAGACTATAATATAACTCTTTGATGAGTATATCGAGACGCAAACCACGGATCGGAAGTTGAACGCTAGATGCGTTCCGGCGGCAAGCAGGGTTCCGCCTGACACGATGAGAGATAGCACTCTACTCTTCGTACTTTAGGCTCGCCGAGGGACTCATCCATCCTCCGACCGCGCTATAGGAAATTTGGCGAGACACTTTAGTGAGGGCACTGAATCTCGAACACCCAAGAAACACATAATTTTACTGATAACGGAAAGATGGAAGGCTTGTGTTCATAGACAAAAGATTAGCTCGAGAGGGGAGAAGAAGGCCGGGCTTGTCAACATAGAGAATTCGGTCGCAAAATCGTGTGGTCTTTCAGCCTCCTTTTTTTAAATACATTTGATCTCAAACTCCTTAGTGCTCACATAGTGCAGGCTTGCCGAAAAACATCTCTTCTTTGCTGTCCCAAACCATTTTTCCTCAAATCTGGCTCCTATACGTGTTTTTCCCAACTTCCCAAAAAGCAAGTTTGTTTTCCCGAAAATCTTCGGTTTAATGCACTGTATGAACCGATTAATTTATATAATTTTCGGGCATCCATTTTCCATTTTGCGCACTTGAGGTGAGGTTATGTCCTCAAGTGACAAATTTGCGAATCACATATTTTCTCGGGAGTTGACTTATGGCTTGACTTCATTTCATTCACCGAGAGTTGACTTTTGTTGACTTTTTCCAATTTTGGCGTCATTTTTGCTCATTTCGCCCCCTTATATTGCAGCACTTTCTTTTGAAAGCGCCTCACTTTCCCCACGGGAGAAGGTTTCTGCGGGCGCGGAGGCAGGAGACCTGATCATCTCTAGGTCTTGTATATTACTTCGTCGTGGTTCAATTCTCTGTCCGAGAGTGTGAGACCGCCCCATTACAGGTACTATCCTGTCCTACGGCCCCTTATATTCCTTCTTGTCTATCAGTCCCTATTTCGCGTGAAGCCAGTACGCTATACTTGCGAGGAATCATTCGTCTCCTACGCGAGGTCAAGTAGCCTAAAGTGTCCAGCCGCTGAATTACCTTCACCCATAGTTGGCACTGAGAGATGTTTAACTCTACGTTTTCAATGATAGGTCTTAGGTAATTTTTTATTGATGATAAGTATTATAGCATTACCAGTGTAATTGTGACACTACCTGAACACTGTCGCGTTCAATCACCTTTGAAACACTCTCACGAGACACTGAAGCTCAATGAAATAAGATTGTGATATACACGACATCATCACCTGGCTGAGAGGGCAGCTAGCAATAACCCGACTGTCAGTTATTCAGTACCAGTCATTCCGAATGTTTATCATGAACGTTCTCAGGCTACCGAATATATAGCTCGTCAGTAGTATGCATCACGCAACCCAACGACATACCTGTTTCTAGAAGACCAATCACAAAAGCTATCGAAGTAACTATGCGCGCACGAATAAGCTCGATAGTAGGAAGTATGTATGCAGCCGAACTATCTGATTGTTCTTACACGACTACAGCTCAAATGAAGAGTCGATCAACTCGTCGGGCCCCGCGTTAGTGGGATGAAGCACTTGGAGTACGACGCAGTCCTCGCTACAAAGTGATTGTACACACTCAAACAGCTTGCAAACAGATGAACATAGATAGAACAAACAGCACAGCATCTGATTAGAGTTGGCAACTCGCTAAGCCGCAGAAACTACTGATTTCTCTGAACCACAAAGCCCACAAATTTAAGGTGAATTACACAGCACACATGATTGAGAGTTGAGCACACACACCCAACAATATATATTTCTGAACACATCAGCCTCTAAATATGCACGGAGTCTCGAACCACACTAGCAGACTATCTAGGTGCTGAGAGATTTGAACACAAGCGAGCCCCAAAACATACCTGATCTTGTCCTGTAACACTCTCGCCCAATTGCAGTCACAAACAAGCT